CACACACACACACACACAGAGAGAGAGAGAGAGAGAGAGAGAGAGAGAGAGAGAGAGAGAGAGAGAGAGAGAGAGAGAGAGAGAGGAGGGGGGGGTTCATTGCGACCCTCACCTGCAGGGTTCTGTTTTCATATAAGGCACACCTTGAAGCTGCACCACCAATGTTTTTGCTCTGCTACACCTCTTTTCTGCGTTCCATCCTACTACCAGAGTCTTTGCTGCGGAGGAAAAAGAGTTGCTTTTGGAGGCTGTGTACTTTTGTGGGCTCGTGGCGTCAGCTGGAAGGTGAAGAGAGACGGCGATGAGAGTTTTGAGCGTCCACTCGAGAGTTTCCTTGTCAGACAGCGATGGTTCTGTTTTGTCTGATTCTCGACTTCATTCAGAGTCCAATTCCGGGGATTAAAGTCGTTGTCCTGTACTCTGTCTGAAAAATTCAACCTATCCTCTCTTAAAACGAGCTGTTCACTTGCTGAATATCTTGTTGCTGTGCGATCACACTTGTTTACTTGGTTACTCCAGCGTATCGAAATGCTGTGCGGGAACAAAGGTTGGCAGCTGAGATCTCTGTTGCGAAGAAGGAACGGGACTTTTACCTTGCCCGTGTCGACCAGTCCAAGGGAATCTCAGAAATGGAGGCAAGAAGGAAGAAGGTATTATTGCCAGTACCTTCATTTCCGTCCATCAGAAACTGTTTGTTGTCTCTCATCGAGAAGTCTCTGTTTGTATGTCCTTTTTGCTTTTGGTTTTTGAATCTCTATGGTGGTTTTTCAGGTCTGTGACCATGTTGGTCGAGGGTCTTTGGGACCGGCTATTCTTCACTGGGGGTGCTGGGTGGAAATCTTATTCCATCTGCCGCCGGAGTGGCCATTCGTTGAATGTGTTGCTGTTCTCATGCGTCTAAACCACCATTTGTGCTCTTTTGTTCTTTTCTGTTCCGTTCTGCTCTCGTATTTCATTATGGAAGTCGCATTTGTAAGGTTATTCTTTTTTCCGTGACCGGTATTGAGTCTGCTATGGCTGCCGCTCTATCAGTGTTCATACTTTACACATGTAGAAGCACCCGAATGAACACGTTCGCCCTTGAATGAAAGCATTTCCTGCTGCTGTGCACTCCTGATATGTGCGTGCCTTTGTTGGCTTTGCTCAGTTTGCTGATGTTTGTAGTTGCACTCAGCAGCTGGTCTGTCATTGCCTTTGTCCTTTCTCTCGCCAACTCACGGTTGTCCCAAGCCCCTTCCCCACCCCTCCTCTTGCCCCTTCCACCCACTCTGGGTCTCCTGTATCCACTTGTGCATGGCTTTTTCATTTCTCTTCTGCTCCCTATGCCCACCTGCATGTTTGTGTGTTTGCTTGTCCATCCATGTACGTTCTCTCTCTCTCTCTCTCTCTCTCTCTCTCTCTCTCTCTCTCTCTCTCTCTCTCTCTCTCTCTCTCTCTCTCTCTCTCTCTTTTTGTGCCCGGTAAACTGTAGGCAGAGAGGGAGAAGAGGACAACAAACGAGGGCCTGTGACAGACTGTTTCGTCACTCACCAGGAGGTGTGCATGTGTGTGTGTGTGTGTGCGCTTGCAAAATTACATGTGAGGCTGTTCTGGAATATATGGTGTAACGTTTCCTTGTGGTTGTTGGTATCTATCTGCAGAGGCAGGCGAGGTCAGAAGAGCACGGTGATAGCCCTCAAGTTGCAGGGGCATCAGAAGGTAACGCCTCCTGTTTTCTTTTTCTGGATGAGGCATGGTTGTCCGTTTTCGTGCCTGTATCTTAATTGTTGTATGATGTCTCCTGAACCTTGAAGGTTTGTGAAGGAGGAGTGGAAGGAATCCAAACAGAAGGAAAGGACATTGAAAACGGCACCAAGTTTGTGCAGGTGATCTTTAGCTCATTGTATGTGGACGTAGGTCTCATCTACAAGAGTGTCTCATCTACAAGAGTATACATTCTTAGTATTTCTTACATGAGTACACGGCGACATGACGACGTATTCACGTACACGAGTATACGATGTATTCACGTACACGAGTATACGACGTATTCACGTACACGAGTACATGTACTCACGTACAGGATACAAGTGGTTAACAGGGATCCCCACTTTTCAGCCCCAGGTTAACACCCCCGACACTTAAAAGTGCATTTGGGGATTTTTTTTCAGTTTTTTTTTTTTTTTAACCCTAAAGCACATACATCACAGGGAAAGGGAAAAAAAACAAGAAAAAAGCAGAAATTCAGGGAAATATGGCACTTTCGGTGAAAATTTTGCAAAAAATGGCACCACTCGGGTCCACCCCCATGGCAATGCGAATGTTCAGTTTAGATGATACTTCATGGAACTCAGACTTAGGCTCTGTGAGCGATCTCGGGGAAGGTAGGTGTTGGAGCCTCCACACTGTCCACAGTGGTATTTTCCTTGCTTTGGGTTTCTTTAGCTCCTCAGAGTTTGTATTGTGTTTCTCTACTTGGCGATATCACAACGATTGTAATTGTTAATTATGAATTAGTATGAAATGAATGCAAGTAATTATTTTAATAAATTAGCTAGGATACCAGCTGGGCTGCCCAGGTGACCTTATCTAGCCCGGGCGACCCGGCAGTGAAGGGACCAAAGAAGGTCCCAGCAACAAAAAAAAAAAAAAAAAAAAAATCTGAAGAAAAATGATGTTATGCAGGAAAATGAACTGAACTACTTTTGCCTCAGGGTCACATCGAAATTCTTTACCACATTAAAATATAGTGATAATAGTGATATCCATTTGTGAAATTATGAGATCACTCGGCATGTACATCTATTTATAATAATATCTTTTTGGATGAAATTGGATCTGACTCTTTTCTTTTTTTTTTTTCCGGATCTGCCATCTGATTTATTTCCGTGATTATTTGGTTGCATGACTTTTTGTGTGGAATTATAGCAGGAAAGAGTCCAGCAGAGAAGAAGACTGAGGGCCCCGTGAAGGTGCTGCGTAAATTCGCCCAGAAAAGGGGTTTGACTGATTCTGTGGCAGAGGAGACCCCTAGGCTCCCCATGGATCTTTTAGATGGAGTAAGAACACATCCCCACCATATCTCATCCATTATGCGTCTTTTAAACTCGTTTTTTTCAATAATTGATATAGTATTGTGCAACGGTGATGCCGTAATCAACAACAAAACCCTAAAGCTGAATGGGTTCCAGCGGTTTTGGCCACTGGATCTTGATATCTAAGGTTGGAAATGCCGGAGAAGTGAATTTTAACGTTTTTTGGTGCTCTACTCGCTCCTCTATCTATGTTTGCGAACTGTGTGTCGTCTCTTTTGCTCTTCTTTTTAAATTCCTTGCGTTCGGCTTAACTGCTGTGGGAATGTGAGTGCTGGTGAGCACTGGCATCGAAGATTTGTCACACTATCGAACGGATGCTCGGTGAGTGACCGGAGGTACTGTTTGTGGCAAAGTGTGCGGCGAAAGGTGTGGCGAAGTGTCAGAAGGGGCAGATCTTTTTCTTTTTTGGCACAAGGCAGTGCTCACTTTTTCTTTGGTCTCTTCTTTGGTTGCTGCGTGATGTCAGCTGGGGAATTAACGTGTGAGTCACGGTGTCAGTCAAAGGAGAATGGCTCAGTATTGGTTTGCTGTTTTTGCGTTTCATGCGGTGGGCGGAACTGCCGTCAGGGCGGTTTCCGTTCGTCTGTTCGTTTTCATTGTTCTCTTTTTTTCCATTTTGCTCTGGAGGTCTTCGATTTTTTTTGTTTTTGTGCTGAAAAGGGAGAGGTCTGGAGGTAGTGGTGGTTTAAGCCAGCTGCTGCAGGTGCTGGGAGAGAGCAAGAAGGAATGCTGGAGAGAAACTGCTTATCCATCCTATATCAACAGATGACATCCGTTGTTGATGACAAACGACCGCGATCTTTTAAGTGAAGACTATACGAAAGAAGGCAGGTGCCACAGAGGGATGCTCTTGTCACGCTCGGTGGCACCCCCTGAAGATGTTCTTGTTAAAAATAAAAATAAAAAAAAAAGATCGATCAGAGACATCTATCTGCTCTTCCTCCTGCTACCCTTCTAGGACTAGGCAGCTTCTCAAATCAATTGCCAGTACTTTGTGAATATCCTCTGGATCCATGCATCGTGAAGTGAATGCGATATTTTATCTACAAGCTATATATACATATATCATCAAACAGAGCTGCCCGGAAAACCGTGGGCAGAGAGGGAGAAGAGGACAACAAACGAGGGGACTGTGACAAACTGTTTCGTTGGAGTTTTACCCACCGACTCATTAGGAGGCTGATCCCATGTGCGCTGTGGGACGGGTTTGCATGTTCTGCTGGCAGACAATTTTGTCGTGCTATGTTTGGTGCAATCTTTCGAGTTTCGGCCACAGCCGTAGGAGTGTTATTGTACGTGCAGTGGCGATGTGGCAGCCTCTGAATCTGGGCTTGTGTGTTTGTCGGATACTGCAGATCTTTGGAGGAAGCCGCAGCAGCCCTGATGGACCGGAAAAGAAACGGATTAAGGAACACTGATCGCTTGCTCGTTGGCCGGTATGCATTCTTTTTCCTCCTGGCGACACGCTATGCTTCCATCATGTCTGGTAATTGAAACCCAAGAATTTTATCATGTTTCATGGTTACGCCAGATCCAGACACCCGACCAGTCCAGATGTCCGGTCGTGTGTCTGGACTGAAAAAAACCCTTATATTTTGTTTTGAAAAGAGGGGCCACAGACACAGGGCAAGGAGAGAACAGGATGGGGAAAAGTGCGAGGGGGGATGGAGGCGCAAGTTGAAGTATGGAATCGAACAGGTGGAAGGGAGGCAATGGAGAAGGATGAAAGAGAAATTTGAGCGGTTAGGGAAGAATGTGTGTGTGTGTGTGTGTGTGTGTATGTGTGTGTGTGTGTGTGTGTGTGAGAGAGAGAGAGAGAGAGAGAGAGAGAGAGAGAGAGAGAGAGNAGAGAGAGAGAGAGAGAGAGAGAGAGAGAGAGAGAGAGAGAGAGAGGGAGGGAGGGAGGGAGGGAAGGAGGGAAGGAGGGAGGAAGGTAAAGGGAAGAATAGGAAGAGAAAGGAAAATGAGGGAGGAAGGGATGGCGGGAGGGACAGGGCACAGAGAGATCCCATTGGGATAGTACTCTTCGGCCCATTATTTTCTCTTCGGGGGGCACGGCGCCCTCACTCCAAGTTTTGCCGTAGATAATTCTTAAAAAGAAAAGATAAAGATGATGACGTGATATTCCTATGCATTGAATTGCAGTGCTATAAGCGGGCTGTATACTAATTTTGTCCTTGGCGTCGTTGTCGGGACTTGATCCCGCAACCTTTGCTTGCTGTGTTGCCTGCTTGTTTGCTGTTTGTTTGTTTTGAGCTTTGTGGGACTTTATCCCGTGACCTGTTATCTGTGTGTTTTGTTTGTGAGTGTTGAGCAGTATGGGACTTGATCCCTGAGTCTGTTACTCGTAGTCTCTGTTTGGTAGCCCTAGGCCATTCGACCTTTTCCTTTTGCTTTGTCATAGGTCTAGGTCCCCTTTCCCCCTGTTTCCATCTAGGTACAGGTGAGTCTTGGGTTGTTGCTTGGGGAGTTCGTCGTAGGTGTAGGCAGAGGGTAGAAGTAGCGGGCAGGAAATTTGGGTCGGGTCTTTTCTCGTTGTTTTTGCTGGGGAAACTCTGCCCATTCGTGGCCGAAGCGTTGCTGCGTTATTTTGGGCGAGGACATCTTCTTCCTCGAAGCCAGCCACAGCTGGGGCTGGGGCATGAAGTCGGAGATTGCACTGCTGCTATTTAGCAGCTCTGCATGAGAGCTTCCACAGGACTGTGCTGTTGGGTTTGGGCGCTGCCTTTCTTCACTTGGCACCCATATCTGCTGTTCCTCCTCAGGAGGAACTTCGTTTTTTTTCTCCTCTTCGAAGTGCCGGATCGGTTGTCTCCTTCTTCATCAGGACTTCCAGCGCTGCACTGCCATGCAGGCGCTGAGCTGGCGCTGCTATTATTGGGTTTGCTGGTTCAGACTGGCAGGTTGTGACAGCTGTGGGGTTACAGCCATAGCCAGGGAGGGGTATGCGGTGGCGAGGAGGAAGAAGAAGACTCCTGCATGCATACTTCGTTGAACACTTGTTTTTGGTTGTTCGGGGTTTTTGTAAACGCGGTTGTGATTCTTGGAACAAGTACTTTGGATTGATTGGAGGAGGACGGGGGATTACAGAATTGAAAAACGTTTTTCAATTCTCTGTGTATTTCGAGCTTCCGCTGTGAATTTCCTCTCTCCTGTTTTGTGTCGATTTGCCTCCTCCGAGTTGCATCCGTGTATGGGAATGCGTGAATTCATTGTGGATGGAAGTCAATCGGGTACATAACACCTACATCCTTTGAGCGCTTCTTCTTTATCATGCACCTTTTTTTTTTTTGTGTGTGTGTGTGCTGCTATGCTGTCATGTTGTCCTCTCTTCGTGTCTGGAGCTCGTCCTGTCACTCTATTGCTATCGTCTCTTTTTTTTCTTTTTGTTTTTGTAAACTAGACTAAATTTCAATCTCCATTTTACTGGTTTGCGACTCCGGTCGCATTGCTCCTCTCTTTTAGTATTTTGCACATGCCGGTGCTGTCGACGCCACCACCAAATGCTTATCAGCTCTGGTTTTATTATTTAATAATCAAGTCGTGATATTCGTCAAGTCCGCACAGTCAGTCGAGCCTCTTCTTCCACTTGTCAAGATGACGAATTGATTGAACATTTGTGAAGAACGAGCGGTGATCGCTTTCATTGGTTGATTTTTCCACTTCTGTTTCTTCATGCTCACCGGCATCATCATGGAGTATTTATGTAATTAATCCACCAGCCTGCTACACACATCATCAGATTTTTTTTTTTACTATCTCGGGTTTTCCTTTGTCTTTTCACCATTTTTGTGGGTGCATTCATTCCTCGGATTTTTATTTTTATTTTGTGCAGCAGTGGATTTGTTTCGATTCTCTCTTTCCTGCAGGTCAACTGG